GTTGATTTTATAGGGAAACAGGGGCGGATCCAGCCATTTTATAAAAGGGGGGTTCCCAACTCGGGACAAAGGGTGGGGGGGGGGGGGTTCCAACTATGTTTCCCCATTCAAATGTATTGATCGTCCAAAAAAAGGGGGGTTCCAACCCTCGGAACCGTCCCCCCGGATCAGCCACTGGGGAAGCATGACGGGAGTGGGTAACCCTTAGGTCAGTCAGCGGCCACCCCCTTTTAGGAAAAGTTGTGGATCCGCCACTGAGATTTATATAAGCAGGTTTTCTTTGTGTAGATACCTTAAAATATCACCAACTGTGACTGAGTACACAATTTGATTCATTTTAGCTCATTAGCTGGGCTCACTCGCTAAAAAGGTTCATTGCGGGCCTGCTCACTGGCTAACATTTTACGATATTCATGACTCATGTAGAAAAGCCGATAATCTATACATGTGTGTGAGGAGTAGTTATCAAGCTTGCTTTCGTCTGTAAAAACTGTCTTGGGCCAAGTTAGGGAGGTGAAAAAGCCAGTAATAGAACGATAAACAGATGATTAGGTTTTCTTCATATAAGATCCCTTAAAATATCCCCCACTGAGGACACAATTTGATTCATTTTAGCTCATTAGCTGCGCGCACTCGCCATAATAGGTTCATTGCGGCTTACTGGCTAATATGTGTAGAAAAGCTGATAACCTATACATACATGTACATGTATATGGTCAGATCATATGTTTTCGTTCGTCATATGAATTTGTACTATGCATGCCTTTTCAATGGAAATTGTGACGACAGTATGCATTCTTAATAGCACGAAAAACGATGAGAAGAGGATACATATGTCAACCAAAATTTTTCAGCAACGTCAAAATATGTGTGGACACCCTATCAAGATCTATTAAGCTTGCGTTCATGTTGCGTTAAAACTGTTTTAGGAAGGTGAAAAATACCAACAATATAACAATAAATAGATAATCGATATTGTAAAATATCAATGTGTTGAAAAGCCAATGGTCTACATATATACTTTAATATGTCAACCATAAATTAAAACTGATTTAATTTACACCACAACTGTTGAAAAAACCTTTGTTTATATAACTTATCTCATTCTAGTCCATTCAACTGACAGAATCAGTGTACATTTCATGAACTTTAATAACAATAATCATCATGGACTATTCTTTATAGCAATATCTGTTAGCCATTTAGGGGTCTTTTGCATTCAAAGTTTAGTTTTAGTGGGTTTATTTTGCAAAAAAGAACTCAATTTCCAGATCAAAGTTAACATTTTCTATATATTTTGTTGTGTCAAAATGACCTAATGAATATAAAGCACAGTACCCATATAGACCCAAAAATGGTATATCACATTCTACACATGACATTTTAGCAGGAAAGACTGCCATTGGAGTATATAACTTTTAACCTGTGTATGTATAATTAAAATATGATAATAAAATTCATATCTTTTTCAGGACTTCTGATTGAACCATGTACATGTAGTATGGCATGTTTGTGAGATATGGTTTTGGTGGATAGGATGTTCATGAAGGACCTGTAGTACAAAGTATATCACTGGATTGAGCTCTTTGTCTAAGTGTATTATTAAAGTGCTTTGCTTTGAGCTCAGTTCATTGTTATGCAATTCATTCTTTGTGAAATAAAGATTTGACAGACAACTCTCATGTACAAGGATTTGTCAGGGTAGTATCCATTCTATGTACAATGTAAGTAATAAGGAGATAAAAGCATTTTATTATGATTTGAACCAAACATTTTTTGTCCTTTAACCAAATTTAAAAAAAAGAACAAATTTACCCGACAATGCTACACTCCCTTCTAGCAATATGATGCTAGGTTGTTTTAATACATCTGTACTGCCTAATGATGACTCGGTTCTGAGTGTAAATGGTCATTCAGTGTGTTTAAAACTTGAAAAAAAAAAATTATAAGGCCTATCTGGCCTAATTGATTTCTAAAACTATATTTCATTGTACAAGTTCAACATTTTTCATTCATTTGTTTATTTCTTAATTTGTGTGAATTAACATTGTTACAGTAAATGTTAATTACTACACCTTAATACCACAACAAATACTGTATTGGTATCACTTATATTTGTATCCATATAACAAAAAAAATTGAAAAGAGAATAATTTTGCAATACCTTTTTCATATTGAATACTATAACTTTTTTGATATTTAGACATATTAAGTAGATTTTCATAATACCCACTTGACATGCTTGAAATTCTATCAGATTACTTTTGGAGCAGTTATGAGTCTTTGAAGCATGCTCACAAAGGTTTTTTTATGCCCCCGCCGTACCGGAGGGGGCATTAAGTTTTACCCTTGTCCGTCTGTACGTACGTACGTACGTACGTACGTCCCGAAATTGGTTTCCGTTCTCTAACTTGAGTTTGCCTCAACCAAATGTAATGAAACTTATACACAATGCTTATTACCACAAAACACAGATCAAGTTTGAATTTTGGTGGCGTCACTTTAACCGATCTAGAGTTATGCCCCTTTATAAAAGGAAATATTGCATAATTTTTAGTTTCCGTTCTCTAACTTAAGTTTGCCTCAACCAAATGTTATGAAACTTATACACAATGCTTATTACCACAAAACACAGATCAAGTTTGAATTTTGGTGGTGTCACTTTAACCGATCTAGAGTTATGCCCCTTTATAAAAGGAAAAATTGCAAAATTTTTATTTTCTTCTAAATATCAAGTTTATATAATATATTTTTAAAATTGGAGTTATCTTCCTTTGACCATGATTATAGTTGAATCAACTACAATCAATGCTTTATACAATGCAATGTTTAATTTTGACTACCACTGATAAAACACAGATCAAGTTGAATTTGGGTAGTGTCACTTTAACCATTATTGAGTTATGCCCCTTTATAAATAGAAAGATTGTAAAATTTTTTAGTTTCCATTCTGTAACTGAAGTTTTCCCCAGCCAAAGATTGTGAAACCTATACACAATATTCATTCCAACAAAACTCAGTAAAGATCAAGTACATTTTTTTTGTTTCAGTTCTCTAACTTGAGTTTGCCTCAACCAAATGTTATGAAACTTATACACAATGCTAATTACTACATAATACAGATTAAGTACGAAATTAGGTGGCAACACTTTTACCATTCTAGAGTTATGTCCCATTATAAACATAAAAATTGCTGAATTTTTTAGTTTGTCTCATCCAAATGTTGTAAAACTTATACACAACCGTTCTAGAGTTATGCATCATTACAAATAGAAAAATTGCTGAATTTTTAGTTTCTGTTCTCTACTTAAGTTAGCCTCAACCAAATGTTATGAGACTTACACACAATGCTTATTACCACAAAACTCAGATCAAGTTCAAATTTGGGTAGTGTCACTTTTACCGTTCTTCAGTTATGTCCCTTTATAACTATATGATATGCAAGCGGGGGCATCATCTGTGTCCACATGTGGACACTATCCACATTTTTTTTGTTGATATCGTTTTCATATTGGTCAAAACTTTTTTTTGCTTAAGCCAGCTTTGGAGGAGCTGTTATCAAAGAATTGATAAAAAACAACACAGAAGTTTACTTTCTAGCTCATCTAGCCCCAAGCATCATGTCAGGCATTTTCATTACTAAAAACCAATAAATGTCTTCTAATCTGAGAAACAATTTCGACATTTAAACAAAATATTTTACTAAGGATACTGACAATCCACCACAAAGTAATATAAATAGAACCATACAAATAGTGAGCAAATACATATAAAAAAGATGTGGTATGATTGCCAATGAGACAATTCTCCACAACAGACCAAAATGACACAGAAATTAACAACTACGGGTCACCGTACAGCTTTCAACAATGAGCAAAGCCCATAACGCAGTCATTTATGTTATTTATTTACACAAAATAAACGAAAAACAAATATTATGTAACACATAGACAAACGACAACCACTGAATTACAGCCTCCTGATTCATGTTCTCAGATATCATCTCCCATTTAAAAAAAAATCACATGAAAAAATGAACCTATTATGTGTTGCTCTCCTAGCTACAAAATTTATCCAAAATCAAAGATGTGGAAAATATTCTATCATAATCATTTGGTCATTAATGCAATTAGTGTCTCTTCCATGCCCTCTTGAACATAAAATCTAAATATTAAATAAACAACACTCCTCATGCTCAGGTTGGTTGTCATTGTGCAACACAGTTAATAACACCATATAGGAAAAACATAGAACTCCTTTTGTCATATAAAACACTGTCAAACATCCAAACATACTATCCACATTAATCTGTGTCCACACTTGTATTATATTAAAAAAACAATTGTAAGTGTTTGAAACAGAATTTTCAGGTTTTGACGAAAATCAAGTATACAATATCTAAAACATGATTTTCTAATCTATACAGAAGAGACAAATGAAACCAAATATTAAGATTTTGCAGTCAGCTCAGGAAAAAAACTGTTTTCAAACAAATTCTACAAAAGCTGGCCAAAGTTTTTAATGTACTTGTACTCCAATCAGTATTATCTAGGACTTATATATGTTAGTGTAAAAGTCCCAGCTATGATTTTTTTTACATAAAACTAATATATGTGAGTGAAATGGTACCAGGTATTACATAGGACGTAAACCAACACCTACATCTCAAAATCATAATAGTCGACAACTGACTTTCAAAAGGGTTCCAACATCTCATCAGACCGTTATGTCCTTATGTGGCGTTGAGAATAAGGAAACTTTAATCTTATTATGTGCCATCAATAGACGTTGGACTTTTCAAATACAGACGAAATTATATTCCCCTCTATGACAACTGAAATATTAAGGCATGTACATTTATAGCTAAGGATACTAATCATAAACCATTTACGCTCATATTATCCTTCGACCCATACAACCTCGGACAACAAGTATATGATTTAGCTGTTACAAAAACGAAATACATGGATAGCAGTATGTACATGTAAATAAAACAATACCTGTTTCGTCTGATAAATCAACAATTACATTGGAGTTGCCATATCCGGCTCTCTTCTTTATACTGTTCAGTAGATTGACAATAGCACACATAGGATTGCACAATAATGTTTCATTATGTCCATACTTAACTATAATGAACATGGTGATATATTCCTTTCCAAATGGTTTGACAACACAGAAGTTGTAGATTAATTCTAGTCTGCTGTTAATTCCTTATACAAACAACAACTTCATTCCAAATTTCATATTTACATTTAAAAGTTACAGTTGCTTTGTTAGACAAACGGTAAGTCTTTTTTAAATGAATACCATGTTATTATATTTATCTTGTGGTGACACGATCCTTTGCGTGTAATGAGTATGGCCTTCCACTCCTCATATATCTATCCCTATTAAAAAGTTTAAATGAAACATTTAAATCAGGTCGTTTGTATATATATGTTTATTCCGATCGAACGTCGCCCAGATACATTATGTACGTAAGTTGAATTAGCCCTACTGAACATTTATCTTCACTATTGGATCAAATGGAATATATTAAAGTTCGCATTTGTTAAGGGTTAAAGTTTATTTACTCTGAACTCCAAAAACCTTTTCTGTCGTTTTCGAAACGACGATTAGTATTAAAAATGGGACTGATAAAGCATTCGATTAGTTTTTATTCTACATTCTGCGTCAATAATTATGACGAAGTAAAATCAATTTAAAGGAATTAACTGGAATTTAAATGAAGTAAAGCTTTATTGTTCATTGCCTTCATACAAGAATTGTCAATCGGTGTTATATTAAACAGTTTCATTAAAAATGATTTTAACTAAATATTGATTTCATTTAATGGACATTTTCTTTCCGTGCCTTGCATTTGTGATCAAAAGCTGGCGGAAGCTTTATGTTTAATAATTTAATAATGTGTAACTCTATAGTGATTTTTGCAACCACACGTATAATTATGGATCAAATTATATAAGAATTATATATTACACAGATGAGTCTACTGATGTGTATTGGTGATTTTTTTTTAAATATTTCCATATTTCACTATTATTATTATGTTTATCGATTCATGAAAGTGGATATGAGTCCTTCTCTATGCGAGGATTGAATTGGTGTAAATCAATGCACACCTATAATTTTCCGTCGATTTTGTGTGTAGGTCCTCTTTTACATGTTTTATGTATTGGCATGACCCTTATTTCAAATTTATGCGGCGTTTGTTCAGGTGAAGGTAAAAATGTGCAGGTATTTTGTTGCGTGTTTGACTTTAACGACACATGGTCTAGATAAGCAGACTATCTGGACTATGTGTTTTTCATTGCTGTTTTTTGTTTGTATGTCAATTTTTCAGATGGATCGGGTGTTGGTGGTTGTTGTGTTCTGTTGTACTGTCCATTATTTTTTCCCGTTATCATTTGGATATATTATTCGGTACTGCCAATATTTAAAAATTGAATCTTGAGTATAAAATTAAAAATTAATTCATTTACAAATACTAACTGTAGATAGTATTTGACTTTTTAGAAAATGGATTGTGTCCCAAATGCAATAAAAAGGTGGAAGGTGAATTCCATTTTGTAATAATGTGTACATAACTAAATAACTCTAGAATGAAAATGTTTAATGCCAATTCTGTTATTGTTCCTTGTTTTATTTCAATGAGTAAAGAAACAAAGTTTTATTTTTTCTTGTGGAGAATAACACATGTATAATGCTGATTATTAATGACATACTAGTAAGTGAGAGGTATAACGATAGAAGCAACATTAACAATTGTGCATGGAATGTGTATTTTACATGATTGCATGATTTTATATGTATATTAACAATAGGACTTTTATTTTGAGTAATCTGGTATATGAATAAAAATATGTTAGGGATAGCCTAGGCAGCATTTCCTTTTAACCACTGTTATAAATATAAATATTTAAATGCTATTTTGAGGAATGGCATGTTGTTACGGATTAAAAAAAAAAAGAAACAAACTTAGATTTTTTGGTCAATGTTACATTTAGAAAGAAGGAGACGGGTAGGTTTGTATTATTATTGTTTATTTGTGTTATTCAGAAACAGTATTAGTGTTTTGATTTTATACCTACAAAACATTTGATTTTATCTTATCTTACATTATCGTTACATGATATGCTTTTTTTATTGATGTAATGTGTTTATCACGCATGGAGTTTCTAGTCAGAGACACGTCCTCATACACGTCCGACTGGTATCAGCAAATGTTGTTGGTAACCAAATGACAGCATGTCGCATTCCAGACACACAGAAGACAGTATTTTCTTTCTATACTATTTATAGATGGTTTTACCTGCAGTTCTATTGCCTTTGAACTTGATAATCCAACAGACGCGGACAGATACATTAGTCAGGAAAACTAAGCACCGTGAACGAATAAAATCAAACCAAGAAGACATGAATAATACTAAGGAGAGTATACCACAAGACCATTCGCATGAAAACCGTCAAGCAAAATATTCGACCGAAAACTTATAACGGAACCAGAATATCTTTTATGTATTTAGCTGTTATTATATTTGAGTAGGAGCAGCGGTCGTGATGGCCATGATATTAAATGACGACATTTTGACAAAGTGCGGTTGCATTTTGCATGATTCTTCAGAATTTATTTGCCATTGCATTATTTGTCATTTTTTTCAATGTACTTGCTGGTCATGCTTAACGGCTTTTGCGTCATCAATCCTAATTCTTAAAGGGATCTCAAATCTGGCATAACCAAACCGTCTGACAACTGTTTGCCCTTTAGATGATTATTCGATGGTTTTAAACATTTTTGTTGGTTTTATCACTATAATTTCTATTTAGTTATGACAGCTATATTAAAATGTTTTGCGGGTGAATATGATTTTACATTGGAAACTAGACAATCTAAGAAGAACTGTTGTCAAATCAAATATTTCAAGTGATCTAATAGTGTGGGAGAAAATTTTAAGTAAAATTAATGGACCACAAGTGATGTCAAAAGCTCTCACCAGGCCTTGGGAAATTTAACGAAGACCTATCTTGGAGTTTAGGAATGACACCAATAATATTTGTCTGCCTGACTACGTATGGAATATCTACCACTGGACGTCAACACTCAAGAATCAATCAATACCATTTGACAAAATGCTAAGACATTTCAGATGACAATTTCACGTAATGCAGCTAAAATAGATTAACAGGATTTATGTTTCCCAATCATTATTCCAACAAACTAAAACACCGACTCACCTTTGATATATACAACACAATTTTATTTAGAGGCCAGCAGAGGACCACCTCCGGGTGTGGGATTTTCTCGCTGCATTGAAGACCCATTGGTGGACATCGGCTGTTGTCTGCTTTTTGGTCGGGTTGTTGTCTCTTTGACATATTCCCCATTTCCATTCTCAATTTTATAACTGAAGACTAGTATTCAAAGCTTGGCGTACGTCATGTTAGTAATACTTCATTTATTTTTTTCTTAATTGTGTTTTCATGTGCAAATATTTTATAAATTTACAAATCAACGACTAAAAATTCTATCTTCAATATATACGATGTGGTTCGCTTCAGAACGCTGAATGTTTTCTAACAAAATTTGTTATCACGACACATATTTCGTGAGTAACCATCAGCAGCAACGACCAGAAAGCAAAGGATATCAAATATTTGAGAGCAGAACAAAAATTCGTAAACAAATAATGTATGACCCATCTGCTTTACAGCGAAATCAATACATTTAATATAAGCTGCAATATTATTACATTTATATGGAGTGGATATATCTTTGTAACTAGTAATTACACGGTAGGTATAGTGTCCGGCTAGGATCGTGGTTTTTCGAGTGAATCGGTCCAATTTTCGATTGTAGATCGGGTTTTTTCGAGTGATAAAACATGCTCATTCACCAGTGTTTAAAGTAATTGCAAATGGCTGATATTTTTGTTCAAGCATATTGTTTTTCTTAAATTGTTTAACATTTCATAGCGGTATTACATGTTACTTTAATTATTTTTCCTTTAGTTTATTTATTTTGTATTTACATTGTATCATAGATCAAATTTATTTGTTCAGTGTATGTTCACTGGTGTTAATATGTATTTTGATTGAGTTAAGCCATTTCAATTGATATTTTATACTGTGTCTTTCTATGGTGTGATGTTACACTATTGTTTCAGATAAGGGTGAAGGTTTGGTACCATTAAAACGTTTAAACCCGCTGCAATTGTTTGCACCTGTCCTAAGTCAGGAATCTGATGTTCAGTAGTTGTCGTTTGTTGATGAGGTTCATAAGTGTTTCTCGTTTCTCGTTTTTTATATAGATTAGACCGCTGATTTTCCCGTTTGAATGGTTTTACACTTGTATTTTTTGTGACCCTTTATAGCTTGCTGTTCGGTGTGAGCCAAGGCTCCGTGTTGAAGACCGTACTTTGACCTATAATGGTTTACTTTTATAAATTTTGGCTTGGATGGAGAGTTGTCTCATTGGCACTCATACCACATCTTCTTATATCTATATAAGGTCAATTAACTTCTATTTGGTAATTATAATTGTTTTTTACATGACAATCCATCTTAATTTGAATACTGTACATGTTTTGAGCAACAAAGAAGCACAATTTCCTTGTATTTAACCAAAAAATCCAGTGTTTAATATTGTCCGGGTTTTTTCGAGAGCAACTGTGAAACCGTTCGGGTTTCTCAACAAATGGTCCGGGTTTTGTAAAGAAAATTTGAATCTAGTTTATAACTGTAATTTTAAAGTGAAGGACAATATCATATATTCTCAATAAATCATAAAACATATTACTACGTTGTCTAACTTGAGCAAAATTAACCCTTTTCAATTAAATGCAAATTTTCTGTTCGGAATACGTTCTACCACAACTTTCCAGTATTAAATTAGAAATTACTGGATCCTTTATAAAACGGTCTTTAGAACATAGTGCAGGGGACTCATAATCTTTTCGACTTCATTTCATGCTACTTTTGTTGTCACAGTTAATAATATTTCATACGTTTTCATACGCCCGTTTACGGGACGTATTATGGTATACCGTTGTCCGTCCGTCCGTCGTCAGCATGTCGGACAATAACTCAAAAACGCTTTAACCCATTTACATGAAATTTCGGTGAATTGTTTATATCTATTGAGATAAGCTCCCTTTCGATTTTTATAAATTTTAGATTTTACGTTTCCGAGTTATGGGGTTTTATTCATTAAAAAAAAGGGGGGATTTTCCAGTTTTCGAACAATGACTCAAAAATGCTTTCAGCAGTTGTCATGAAACTTTGGTAAATTGTTTACATCTATAGTGAGGTATCCTCCCTTTCGATTTTTATGAATTTTAGATTTTACGTTTCCGAGTTGTAGGATTTTATCAAACAAAAAAAGGGTGATTTTCCAGTTTTCGGACAATATTTTTAAAGTGCTCTGAGCAGTTTTCATGAAACTTTGGTGACTGGTTTATGTAGATTAAGATAACCTCCCTTTAGTTTTTCATAAATTTCTGATATGTCATTGAGAAGTTATTGAACTTTATTCTTTGGAAACGCGACGGGCGTATCATGCACTCATGGCGCAGCTGTTTATTAAAAAAAGGAGTA